AAACACTCCCGTGTTCCTGTTGATGGTGTCAGCATCCGAGTTCTCAACTAGAAAGTGCCCTTGGGCTGTCCAAAGCACTGTGGATAGAAAAGGGGCAGGTTGCATTATATTACATTGGATTATATTTAAATGAATTGAGAGCTAATATGAGGAATTTTGCACTACTTAATATAATATAAATATCCTCTTAAAAATGAATGATAAAAACCTTTAACTATCAATTAAATCATCACATTTGATTCATTTTGACAGAGAATGATTGATTGACCAAAAATGCAAGTATATGCCATTCTGTCATTTATTTTATGACAGAAATGGCCTCTACATTAAAACATGTAGAATCTCATCAGCTGTAGAAGTATGTACTGTACATAAAAGACTCAGACGCATAAAGATGTTCCAGTCAATTGTCAGCTTTTTGCCAAAACCATTTATATCTTTATGATTGTGTGTTTCAAATATCTACTTACTGGCTGCTCCAATGCCAATTACCACTGATGTAAAATAAAGGGACCATGTGGATGGAATGATGAATACAGCTATATAACCACTGAAAAACACACAGAAGTAAACAATACAGACAATTGTTGCACAATTACTTATGTACAGTCACAAAAACATCTGTGATACTTGCCTATAAAGAATCCCACTGAAAAACATTGCAAACCGTGGTCCAATTATTGCAACGATAGTGGGAGCTAACACATTACAGAAGGAAAAAACTCCATATATTATTCCAAGGCTGTGAAAAGAAAAAGAAAAGTGGAAGATTTAATATATCAGAGTTTCATCAAGAGTTTATTTTGCTCTTAAATTAAGTTCTTCATGTTTTGTGTAGCAAGCACCTTCTGTTTCTGACATTGGAAAATGTTACATTTTAGCATCTACTCTTATAATAAATTAATAACTAAACTGCATATCTCTCATGCATTTGATTGTAACACTTACAAACTCCAGAAGTGTTCAACTAACTAAAATTGAAAATATTTATACAATGCCAAGTTGCCAACCTACAGTGTTGATCAGTTAATCAAAATGAATGAATCTTTTCCAGAGTCAACTCGTTGATTTTGTTCATTGAATGAACCCAATGACACGAAATAAGATTTGTTCATTTTGATAAACGAGTTTGAACAGGAGAGTCACGAACGTGCATCACAGAACAGATCAAGACGACCATTTGAGCATATAAAACTTAAACGTTGTTATTTTTTTTAATGAGCGATCGTTTCGCTTGATAAGACCCTTATTTATCGTCTGAAATCATTTAAAGCCCTTTGAACAGTTTGCAGTTTGCACTGAAACTGTCTTTTGAACCTTGAACTGTTTGGTTCCCATTGAAGTCCATTATATGGAGAAAAATCCTGGAATGTTTTCATCAAAAAACCTTAATTTCTTTTCGACTGAAGAAAGAATGATATGGACATCTTGGATTACATGGGGGTGAGTAAATCATCAGCAAAAGTTTTTTAAAAGTGAACTACTCCTTTAATTCAACAGTTTTTGGGAAATAGATACCGAGAACTATACAATTTTACTGGTATGAAATTTTGGTACAGTGACAACCGTTAAATTAGATTGAAACAAAGATGCTTTACAGTGAATTGTATTATATTTAGGCTATATGTCTATCATAAATCTAAAAAAGGTGGAAGGACTCGGGGAATAAATCTTACCTGTGATACCCACTTCCAGTGAAGTTAGTGCTGTTTAGGCTTTTCACCACTGTTTGCTAAAAGGAAATAAATAAACAAATACATGTCTTGCTGTTCACCTAAATAGTATACAAATAAATTTTCAAACATTGTATTTTTTATATTTAATGTAGTCTGTCAATCAATATGAAGTTGTGTTTCTGGGACGTTTTGAGTTTATTTGTTGATATTTTTTTTTTATTGTTTCTCTGTTCTGTTCATGTATGAATCTCCTTGATAAACTTCTAGTCTTTTAATTGGTTCAAAATAAATTGGCTAATCTGTTCTTTCCGTTTGATTCTGTGGTTATTGATTGAGTTAGTTCTGTGTGTATTGTATAGTTCATTTGCCCTCTCTTATTTGTGTTGTATTTACATACATCACTCAGTTGGTTGACATGCCTGCTTCAGATAACATATCTGCAATACGGGAGTTGTCTATATCCCATAGGGAGATACCGAGCGAATGTTTGAAAGAGAACTTTAGGTAACCCCGGTTCTCTGATAACATGAGTGAGGTATCCCACCACACTTCCCTCCTTGCAGTACACAGAGAAGAGATAAGCAGAGAATGAAGTAGGGCCCACCGGCAGTGGTATACATTAGGGAGGTTATGGGACTATGGGACTCCTGTATCACTGTCGTGATTGGTCTGACAACTGACAGACGTTGGTGCTTCCAGGATCTGTCATGGCCAGAGGCGTTCCCATAGTGAGATACCTCACTCATGTTATCTACAGTTAGTTTGAGTTAATTATTAATAAAGACTACAGCACTAAGATCCAGTTCCATCTCTGGCTGCTGCGACCAGGACAGTGACAAAGTAATAAAAACAGCATGTATTAAAATAATAAAACTTGAAAATAGTTGTAGGCTACATGAAGCATCATTGTGAATATTTAAGAGATGGTTAATTTTGCACTAGAATTATCAACACATTTGGAATATTTGTTGAATCTCAAATATGCAAGGCATCCTTTTTCATAGTTACATACTGTAGTTTGGGGGTTATTCTGTGTGGAGTGACTGTGGTTAACATAAGTCCACCTTGACATTCGAATTTGTTCCTCCTATTAGTCATGCAGGATAATTCATTGACTGAAGGGGGAAATCAAAAACACGAGATGCGCCTGACCCGGATTTACTTCAACAATGGATTGATAGTTTTCAGTTTTATTGAATGTCGTTTTTTTTTCCACAATGAATATAAAATACTGAAATAAAGCTGAAAAATTGCCTTACAAAAATTATTTACTGCAGTACAACTGTGTGAATAAAATGATAGAATTGTCTGAAGTACATTTTATAGTTGTAAAATAAATAGTATGTGCCATATTTTAGTAGACACTATTGCTAAACTACATTTTTCTGCGAAAATTTCCGTAGAGGAAAAGCTGAAACAAGTTTTAACACAGCATGTCTTTGTAGAATCATACATCTTAAACTATAGTTAATATCATGCAGTATGAATGCAAGATAACTTACTTCGATATTACCACAAGTGGTGAAGGCTGTAAAAATGAACAAAAATCCTATTCCCAAAACAACAACATTGTATGTCCTAATGTCCGCCATCCTCGCCTCATTTAAATCCTCGTGTAGCCTAAGATGCCAGTTTCAGTCAGTGATTCTTGATCCATGTGAATAAAAACAACATCCAGGAAACTGTTAGGGGGGAAAAATAGAATTTGAATACTTGGTAATCTACTGCATGTTGTATTATTGCATTATAAGTATTATTGCATTAAACGGTTGCGAATACAAGTTCGTGGTCACAGAAGTGCACGCGTCTCGTGACCCTCCCTATGGACCCTCCTCAAGAATGAGATGAAAATAGCTAGAATGCAAAATCCATGTGATAGTTTCCGTGGCAACTACTTCACAATAATTGCTATAATAGCCTACTTATATATGTAAGGGAATACCGAACTGAAGCGGATGACCTAATACATTTTCGTTGCATCGTTGAGCTAAACTTGATACATTCTCAGTTTAACGTATCATTAAGGGCGACCAGTTATTCTAGGTTAGCTACAGCATTGTGCTAGTTACACAGTCTGTTAATAACACTGTGACATTGCAATAACTTACCCAAAATCACAGACTGTAAACTTTACTGTAAACACGTAACTTAGTTGCTGCTGCTGTATACGTCACGTGCGATCTTTAAAACCAGCAATAGAATAGATTCTTGTGAATAGAATGTTCAATAATGAAATTATTAGTTCCGTTGACTTGTTTACATTTTTCTTTCAAAGGTTGTAGATTGTGTAAGCGCTGAGAGATCGCCAAACCCTCAAGGTAAGGTTTGCACGTAGATCAACTGTAGATCTATAAGCACTATCCTCACAGCGCATGTCAATCACCATTATTTGGAAATCATCGAACGGTAAAAGGCTACGTCACATCTGGAATGGTCGTAATATTATTTTTTTTTAAATTCACTTCAACCTCTACAGACAAAAAGATATTATTTTCAATATTCAAAGAGAGTTAATTGCAATACATGAAAATCTAAGTTTACAGAATAACACCAGAGGAGTTTTACATTACACACATACATTCATACATATTCGACATCTTTCTTTATTTACAAAATTTATTTTAATTACTTTAATCAAAACATATCGCATATCTAGATTCAAGGTTACATATTTTGTGATAGAAGTGACAATTTGACAGAAATGTTAGGAGAATTCATAATTAAAATGACACATGGCTATTTTCAGTACAGCGCTAAAACCAAACCTCCTACGAAATTCAATTTTTGTGTTATCAACTTCAAAGTTATATATATATATATATATATGATCAAATATTTAGTACATTTGATTTAAAGTACATTTACACTTTCATAACTGTTTCATAATTTCATCTGCTTCATAAAGACTATGGGTTTTTACATTTATTGCCAAAAAGGACAGTGACAGATAATGTGAAAAAGAAAAATATATGGGTGAAAAACAGCCATTAACATTTGAAAGTTTATAGTTTACTGGATAACAGTTATGAATAATTTACAACAGCAACAAAAAAACAACAACTTTGTTTGGTCGGAAGAAACTGTTTGTCGAAGATTCCAGAACTTTCACTGCATTTATGATTACAAAAAAAAAAAAAGAAAGAAAACCCGGTGCAACACCAGGCCCGTTGCATAAATTTAGCCACTGTGTTAAGACTGTGTCACAAGTTTGATCAACTAGCAAAATATGGGTCTTTTTTTATAATTTGTATACAGTGAAAGTCCATACTTTTAAGACTAGTTTAAGCGGTTTATGCAACCGGCCACAGATTTTAAAATCGCAAAGTCACTACGGGAAGCTGCAGAGCTCATTCACTGACAGCACGCTCTTTCCCAGAAGCCTTTCCTCATATTGTACACAATCATCATGGCGGCGCAGGATGGTAGGTAGCATGAAAATGTACTTAAATGCCATTTCCCCTGTCTTTGCGGTGTTGTTCATATGCGTATAACATCCGTTACAGTAATTTGGAACTTGTATTACAGTGAATGGATGTTGCTTTAACTTGTCAGGGTTAAATAATAGCTAGATATTTTGTGATTAGCCCAAACAGCCATCTCAAAAACTTCGGCTGTGTCACAAAATCTTCTGAACTGTCTACCTAGATGGCATTCAGGGGAAGAATTGAGTGCGTTTGAAACGTTTCTAGAACGTTCGATCATGGGAATCACGGGAGCGTTTGCAACGTTTAAACAAAGGTTTTAATCGAGCCCATTTCAATTGGACACCAATGGTGATGTCTATATAGGCAGCTCGCTGACTTTTGAGACACAGTCTTGATGTGAGCTTGCGAATATTAGCACGGCGGGCTGGCTAAGTTACCGTTGAGTCAGTTGTGTACGATTACAACACACAGCCTCTAAGTTATTCGGTCCGTCATGGGAACGGTTATTGGTCTTAGTTCAACAGTTGGGTTCAAATAACGAGGGGGGAATTTACTTGATGTTTCTGAGACTTTCTGGACTGGACTCTGGATAATAGATTAGCTTTACAAACTATCTATACAAGAGATCATTTAGTTATGATATTTATGAAGTAATATATCTAAACTGGCATCTGTGGCAGAGGATAGGAAGCTAGCATAAATCCTGCTAATAATGGTGTGAGATTTGAATAGTTACCTAGGTTTCGCATTAGTGTTATAAATATTAGTGTTTTATTTATGTCCCAGGAGGATTTGTTTGTTTTATTTTTATACTGTTTGAATTGACATTGTCATTAACTGGTCATGGTCACATCAGTACTCTACTGTTAAACAGTAATTTCCTGTTCAAAACAACTTTTGATTGATTACCTCTCATCTGTAATTGTTCCCACAGGAAGTGAGGTAGAAGGAATGGAGGCTGAGGTCACGCAGAAGGTACCAGAAGTGTTGTGTGAAGCTGCGGGACATGGAGATGTAGCAGGGACTGAACAAGCATCTCTTACCGATGGTGAAAGCACATCAACTCTGACCACGGCTGTGAGCAATGGAGAGGAAAGTGATGAGGGGAAAGAGATGGTGGAAGTGAAAATCATTTGGAACAAAAACAAATATGATCTTAAAATTCCTTTAGACGGCACCGGTGCTAAGCTGAAAGAGAAGATTCACACACTCACTGGTAATGTAACTCTCTTATCATGAAAATTGTGGGTTTTACAGCATATATGTTTTAAAGTCAGCATGAAAGAGAAGTTGCCACAGTCTTTTCCTACTCATTGTGAGGTATATCTGAGTGAAACGGCTTCTCGAACTGGAAAAAATGGAGGCCGGGAATTGATTGGATGTTAGTGGTTTGCTGTTGGTTGATCTAAAGTGAGTGACAGATTGCCCCTCCCTCACGCCAGTAAATACATCATCAGAGAAGAGATGACACTGCATGATGGAGGGAATGTTTTGATTAAAGTTGAGGGCACATGAATTATGAGGTTATGAGGGCACAAAAACAATTATAAAATGTGACTCTCGTCTCCATGAAATTCTTCCAATATTGAAGAGCAGACGACAGTTTCCAGCATACATGAACATAATGATATAAAACACTATATTGATTTTAAATGTGGAAGATGTGACATGTCAATAAAATGCGCCATGGTAAGAAATTGACTTTATAATGTTGTATGATATGGAACCAACATAGTATATAAGGATCGGATTTTGAAATTAAATACCTAATACATTTTTTTAATTATCATTAGGTCTTCCACCTGCTATGCAGAAAGTGATGTACAAAGGACTGCTACCAGAGGACAAGACGCTTAGAGAAATCAAAGTTACAAATGGTGCAAAGATTATGGTGGTTGGATCTACAATAAATGATGTACTAGCTGTAAATACACCGAAAGAAGTTATTCAGCAAGAGGTTAAAGCTGAGGAGAACAAAAAGGAGCCATTGTGCAGGCAAAAGGTGGGAAACTGGTTTGCATAATGTGAAATTTAGCATTTAAATTACAATGGTATATACTTAATATGCTTCTACTTATGCTGATGTCCTTATAATTTATAAATGTACTTGTGGATACTTTTTCTCAGCAACATAGAAAAGTTTTGGACAAAGGAAAACCAGATGATGTTATGCCATCAGTAAAAGGAACTAAGGTAAGCAGAACCTATGAAACATAAAATATAATTATTAGATTGTACCAGATTACAGCGCACATGCCATAAAAATTAATTATATGTCTATTGAACCTATTGAAACATTTAATGCAATACATTTTAAACTGTATTTCCACTTGTGGTCTCCCCACTATATGTGATATTTCATATGGCATTTGTATGGGGTTGGACAATTAAACTGAAACCTGATTTTCAGACCACGATAATTGATTAGTATGGTGTAGGGCAGGGGTCTCCAACCTTTTTTCATTTGAGAGATACTTTTTGAAAATGAAAGTGGCCGAGAGCTACTCATGTAATGCAATACTTAAATCTCTTAAATAATGTCTCATAACTCTCATATTATTAACAGCAATCCAAACTGTTTTAGACCTAAAATTGTTTTTGTAAGCCTGTATGTGTCACCCTTAAATGACAGAGATGCATTTATAGAAATTTGTACTTGGCATATTATAGTCAATTATTAAGTCAATTATAGTTGATTTTATAGTGCATCATAACTAGAGCATGAAAATTTCATAATTATAGTGACCAAAATGATCACGGTTACCACAGAATCCTGTTCAAAAAGTACTAATTTGGGATGGCGAAAACTAAAAATGTTCTTGCCCGACCACCATGCCTCATTAGCCGGTTGAAACCGGTTAAGCGATTGGTTTAAAATATGCTACGCTATTTGAAATAACAGCCATTTTGAGCCGCGCCTGCAATTTCACAACTCTGTCGCATCTCTCTGCCGCTCTGCATCCCACTCACACACACACTGCCCCGGCACCGCCCTTCTACTCATGTCACTTTTTAAAAATCCCCATACAGCGCGAAACATGAGTCCCGCAAACGTGGCGTCAGAGAGCTTGTATGGAATCGGATGCCTCCTTTTTAGTTTCGAAATTGTTTGTGTACAAGGTGATCGCGTTGAAAATAAAGCCGTTAGTTTAGCGTTAGAAGCTCATTTGAAACATTGCCGTGGCTCATTTAAGAAAATGACATCTCCAAAGAGACGCCACTTTAGTTTGAAGTAACGTTAACGTTAGTGCTAACAATAATAAAGAAAGATGATGATCATCAACTTATCTGTTACCACTGAAATGTAGATGTAATGTATTTCCGAATCTAAGCCCAGCAACTTACATCTGTGTCATTCTTTTAGGTGAAATGGTCCCACGCACTATTTTCTTTCCACGCTTAATCCTGTCGTCTGCCATGGCTCTAACCTCGAGTGTTTTAGCCTGAAGTCATTACTTTTCGCAAATCTTGTGAGCGCGTAAACCCAAATGCTGTGACCTCGCGCCAAATGTTTTTTTTTTTTGTTTTTTTGTTTTTTAACGACAACTTTGATGCGGTCAAACGGTCATCGGTTAACATCCCTAGTACTAATACTACACAATAAAATCAATTCACCAAGTTTTATGTTAAAAACCAGCAAATAACAAATATGCACTGTTTACATAAACATTAAAATAATAATATTACAAATGATGGCCAGATTTTAAAGGACTATCTTGCAACATGTTATCTACTAACTAGCTCAAATTAAATTTTGAAAAAAAAGATTTTATAGTAGACAAACCTCACATGTTTCAGCCTTTAAATATTTTTTTATAAAAAGAACGGACTGATATTTTACAGTGCACGTTAGCTTATCTTTTATTATTAATAGTAATAAATTCGGCCCGATTTTGCCGTGGTCTGTTGTTGCAATGCAATCATGCCTGCGCTCTCCACAAGGTAGCTCTGCTACAAGATTTATTTATGGAGAAGAGAAAAACCCCCGTAGTGTTTGGGTGCACCCCAATCCTTCATGTTGACTGAGCTTTCAATGTTGTTATGGAAAGGGTGAGGCTGATTGGTTGTTTCTTGTCACATGACCTGCTGTGCGCTTGCGGCATTCTGAAAATTAGCTATTTTTCATCTCGCTACGCCTGGAAAAAATGTGGGAGTTGCTTCAATTAGCTTGCCGCGCACCTACATTTGAAATAACAAACTTGAACACGCAAAAGACGCGATGTGAATGTCCCCTTGGAACGAGCTACCTCCAATCAGACCACAAGCTACTGGTAGCTCGCGAGCGACGTGTTGAAGACCCCTGGTGTAGGGCCTCCTTCAGCCCTCCAATATGGCAACAATTCATCTGGATACAAGTACTTCACAGCGGCCAGAGGGATTTGAGCTATTCCTATTCCAGAATTTGATACTGTTGGATGAAAACGTTTTCTGACTTGGTCCTCCAAAATTCCCCAAAGAGGGTCAAAAATATTTCGATCTGGTGAGTGTGCAGGCCATGGGAGATGTTCAACTTCACTTCCATGTTCATCAAACCATTCTGTCACAAGTCTTGCTGTGTGAATTGGAGCATTTATCATGCTAACCAACAATTTGACGCAAACCAACAATTTGTCCACTTTTGAACTCTGTGTCCCATTCTGTTGTGTGGATTGCTATAGTTTATGTACAGCTGTTACCGCTGCTAACTCAACCATCAACTTTAATGATGGAATGTAAAATCAGTGGAGATTTTTCAAGCATATATAGGTGTGAAACCTCCACTATATTGGCCAGTGTCTCAGTTTTATTGTTCAACCCCTGTGTGTGTTTTAATGCAAAGGATGCCAGTTTAATGATCATGTCCGGAACTGTAAAGCTCTTTTCAAGGAGACAGAATAAGTTCCTTGTGCATGCTAATGACATCCGAGTGATCTCTGATTTGTCAAACAGGAGCGTCTGCCAACAGTGCCTTTATCGGGAATGTACAACAAATCTGGCGGAAAAGTACGACTCACTTTCAAACTGGAACAGGATCAGTTGTGGATCGGAACAAAGGGTGATTTCATCTTTTGAATGAAAATGTATTCGTTATGCTTGCTTTATGCTGATCTTGATGTTTTCTGGCCTGCAGAAAGAACAGAAAAAATCCCGATGGGTTCCATCAAAAATGTTGTGACTGAGCCAATAGAGGGTCACGAGGACTATCACATGATGGTATGTGTCTATCACAACATTTCCAACAAGCTATGCATTATATCCTTATATTGGTCATTTTCAACCAGGATTTTGTAACATTTTACATATACAGTGCTTTGCGAAAGTATTCACACCCCTTTTTTTCTACATTTTGTTATGTTCCTGCATTGTTAAACTAAGTTATTTTTTTCACATCACTCTACACTCCATATACTATAATGACAAAGCAAAAAACAGATTTGTGACAACAAATTTAGTAGAAATAAAGAAAAAAAATTGCATTTGTGCCCTCTTCTGGGACATGAAATGTAGCTCAGGAGTATTCCACTTTTGCGTGTAGATGAATGGGTAGGATTTGGAAAGTCACACACCTCTCAATTGAAGGTATAACAGCTGAAAATGTTTATAAAGAGTGGTAATGAAGAAGCTGATGGTCACTCTGGTTAAGCTCCATGACTATATATGGAGACGGGAGAAATCTACAGAAGGACGAACATCACTTCACTTATCGCTCTACTTATGGCAGAGTGGCCAGACTCAAGCCTCTCCTTGGTGGAGACGCATGAAAACCCACTTGGAATTTGCAAAAAAAAAATAGAGGGACAAGATTATCTGGTCTGATGAACCTCAGTTCCAAGCATGTATGGAGGAAACCAGGCACTGCTCATCACTTTCACAATACCATCCCAACAGTAAAGTGTGATAAACGCAGCGTCCTGCTGTGGGGGTGTTTTTCTCGTCAGGGTAGAAGGAAAGCTCAACACAGCAAAATATAGAAAGAGCCTTAATGAAAACCTAGTCCTGAGCATTCAGAACCTCAGACAGGGCAGAAAGTTCACCTTCCAACTGGACAATGACCTTAAGCACACAGCAAGTCAATGCTTACGGACAACTCTGAATGTCCTTGAGTGGCCTAGCCAGAGTCTGTGCTTGAGCCCAATCAAACCTCTCTGGAGAAAGCTGTAAATAGCTGTCCAACCTGACAAAGAATATGAGGGGAAGAATGGCAGGAAATGCAAATGCAGATGTGCAACGCTTGTCGCATCATACCCAAAAAGACTTGAGGCTGTAAAGGAGCTTCAACTAAGTACTTAGTTAGGGTACAAATACTTGTGCAATGTACTTATGTCAGTAAAATACATTTTAAAAAGTTTTTTTTTTTTTTGCTTGTCATTATGGTGTATGTAGTATAGGGAGGGGAAAAAAAGTAATTTAAGGTAGCAACAACAATTTTGAAAAAAGAAAAAAAAAAAAGAAGGGCGTGAATATTTTTGCACGGCACTATTTATATTTATAAGCATTTTTTTTTCTTCACCATAGGCATTTCAGCTGGGTCCAACAGAAGCCTCACAATATTGGGTCTACTGGGTGCCTGCACAGTTTGTTGATGCAATCAAAGACACAGTTCTCGGGAAATGGCAGTATTTTTAACGTGCCTCTATTAGACACTGAAGAATTGGGATTCAGAGCAAAAGATTGAAAACAAGATTAACTGGAGCCAACACAATAATCTGAAGAACTGATTTTTCTGAAGTATATCCAGAGCAAACCGAAGGATTGCTGTTGGACAATATTTTGGGGGTTTTAAGTGCACTAAGTGTCAGCATCCCGTTTTTCAAAACTGTTTCATCATTCTTTTTTTTTTTTTTTTTAGAGCAATCTCAAGCATAAACAGAAAATTGTACAGAACTTGCATATACATTTCTCGTAGTTATTCTGAAAGAAATAAAAATTATTTAAGGAAAATGATCAATGCAGTAGAAAGATTTTATCTAGCGTATTCCTCGGTTTACCGTACAACTCGAGCAAACTTGCCAAAGTCGACGTTTCGCAAAGTTGTTGATTTTACAATCAGCTTTTGTCATTGCACAGATTATAGTTTACATGTAAAACAGCAATGGTATAATGCTCAAATATGGATTTAATCCAGGTTAAAAGAACATTGTTGTATTTCAAGTGGTTCAAAAAATTATTCATTTTCCTCAAAACTTGTTAAGCTCGAGGCTTGTTGCAGAATTTCTTTAACCCTAAAGCCAAGAGTACATATGCTCTGCCTCTGTGCTTTCGACACATTGATCCTTTGAAGAATGCAATATCTTTTTAATATATCAAATCAGATGTAACATTAGGGAGAACAGTGTTGCAATGCCCTTAATACACAATCGTACAACTAAGTTGCCTAATGAGTGACTATTTTGATCATGCATGTTGTTTTTTTTTTCAAACGGTGCTAACCAAATTTTTATTTCAATAAAGCCCAAAGGAAGGAATAATTTCAGTGAACTCTGAATACTGACGTTTTATTTTAAAAAAATCTAAACTCAATGTTAACATTCCTCCTAAGTCACACATTTTAGCAAATACGGTACAGTGTGTATTTAGATCAAGTAAGCTACATATTTTTTTTTTTTTTAAGTAACCTATTATTTGTCATATATGGAAAGAATACAGCTGCCTGTAGTTGAGCATTTTGGTATGTGAATGGGTAACTGAGGGGTAAAGTGTGCCAGTCTCAACTATTAGTGATGAATTGGAATATGAGTACTGTTACAATATGTGAAAAATAGTTTCACTGCATTCAATTTTTTTAATATTAAAGCAATACACTGCTGGATAGCAAATATATGAAGCAAAAGAAGACTTTGGAATGGGATTATGCTTTAATAAGTACTTTCTTATGTTCATATATTTATTTGAAATGCAAGCGTCATGTTCTCACTTTTTTCCAAGTCATATTTCTATAACCCCATATCATAGACAAGCCTAATTTCAGTTGATAACAGACGTCTAGAAATATAATGATGAGGCATATTAGTTTTACTTCAACAGGTCATTTCTCCTTCACAGATCACAAATTTGTTTTGCCTCAAATCATAAAAGAGGTCCTAATTAAATGCATTTATCAGATGTATTATTACAATTGCTATTAAATAAATTGAATATGCATTTTAGTGCTTGGTTTTAGAAGTCATATTGCTGCTTTCGTCATGCATCACAGGTGTAGATCTTCGTTTAAAGGCATCATATAATGATACAAGCACTTTTACAAGTTGATTGTACTGAAATATGTTGTCAGTGCCTGTACACAACCATCATATAATGATAAAAATCCATCCAGTGTTTATTTTTTAATCTCCTTTATATGTTTTTCCCATCTCAAATCGAGCCGTTCGACATGTGATATCATAAGGTCGGATGCCCCTCCCACGATTGTTGATTGACAGCAGCGTTTCCACACAGACCAAGGCGCTCTTATATGGGCAGTAATGGAGTCTGGTTGTGCCCTAGTGGAAGCGTTCGGTACTGCGCCCAAACAAAATCTCACTAAAAGCTCATTTTTTGAGTTATCAACCTAAAATTTTAAAAACAACTTAGTTCCAACAGTTTTTTTTTTTTTAAAATGGAAAAAAGAAAACTCTTGCAAACCCTCAATTTGTTGTTTCCCTCTCAAACGTGATTGGATTGTGCAGGCGCCACTGATTGGGACAGGCTATCAACAATCACCTTCAGCTTTCCGCCAAAGTAAACTCCATGGTCAGATTTAGATAAGAGACAAAACAATGGATGACGACGCAGCAGGTCCATCCCGGGAATGTGCCAACTAGTGGCCCCACCTCGCAAGACTATTTCAATTTTCTGAATTTTCAGAAATTTTCTTAAATGTTAAATAAAGCAACATAATAAAAAGATGAATATGACTTGATTTTACTTTCAATTCCTTTTACATTCTCCCAGGTATTAATATTTTTCATAACTTTCTGTTTCTGTCCATAAATGTAAGCACTGTGGCAGTAGTTATGCAATATTTAGAAAATGTACTCTTATACTCTTGATACTCAAGTACTTTTACTTAAGTAGACCTCTGACTGTAGTACTTGTACTTGAGTAAAATTTAGCAAGGGTTATTACTCAACTAATAAAGCAGTGTATTTCTTCTGCCTCTCATCCCACGTTTATAATGAACAACGCGTAATGGTTATTGTATTATTATATACTGTGAGGCTACACACATCAAAATGCCCCACAGAACAGAGGGGTGGAGTGAGTGAAGCTCATTATCATTTAAAGACACATGCACTTAAATGGCATGCTGAAAACAGCTGTTTTTGACCAGGTAAAATGAGGCATTGTATTTTCTTACAATACTAATGAGAATTTTTTATTAAAGTATATTACAAACTTTTCATTTAGACCCTAAAGAATCAATCGATCAACTTTTATTCAAGACACAGAGGTCCATAGAGACAACACAGCACAGATGTATATAAATGTAAAACAATACAAAACAATTAAGAATGATGCGGATGAGGCATCATTTATAAAGCATATGCACGCTTCGGGTCCAATGGTTCCAAAAGCAAGATGTATACCTTGTGTCTCTCTTAGAAACATCATGGGCACAATGATCATAATCTTAGACCCTGTCAGTCTGCACATTAATTTAAACATAAAAAATCTTAAAACAGTCTTAAAAGTGGCACATTGTTGGACACAAACATTTCACTGGAACTACTCCACCTAGCTACCTACTACCTCCACCTTTAAGCACAATTCTCAGTGCATCATTATAAGCCACTTTTTTTTTTCTCTTTTTTTTTCTTTTTTTGACTCACTAAAATTACACCACAGGTGGGCAGTATGCAGTGGAGTGCAATAGGTTTTAGGAGTGCACATGTGGAATTTACGTGCCAGCATGTTTGCCCATAGAGCTTTCCACGCTCACTCTGCACATTATCATCATCATCATCATGACAGAGGTCATCTCTTATCACATGTCCCAGATATTTAACTTTCTTTACAACCTATGGTTCACCTGCCAATAGGAAAGAAGGATACACACTTCATATCCTCCTTGGTTCTGGCGATCAGTACCATACTCTTCATTGAGTTAATTTTTTTCATTAAACATTAGCCCATATTGAGAGCATATTCAGTTGCTGCAGGCCAGCACTGGAGGGAGACAGTACCACCAAAATCATCAGCATAAAGCATATGATTATTATGAGACTATCCTCCACCAATCAGCCGGTCCAACAGCCCTTTAGCTCCTTCGATACATTTACCATGTACATGTGAGAGTACCAAAACTGCAGTATCCTAAATAGGTAAGAGTATCCTAAAGACAGGTTCAGATTCCTTTATTTGTCATTTTCATGGTGTGTACATAAAAACTAAATTGTGTTTCACACATCCACTATTCAGTAATTCAGTGCAGTAGTAACTAATCAAAAGAGCACAATTTAAATACTAGAATACACTAAACAGAGTTAAAAATAAAATGAATAATCTCTGGTTAAGCAGTCTAATAGTTGTGGGGAAAAAGCTGTTTAATAACCTACTAGTTCTTGCCCTGAAACTTCTTTACCAGAGTAAAGGAGTATGAACGTGACACATGAGAAATGAGTAAAGTCTTTAATAATAGAATTTGCTCTATGCACACAACACTCTGTGTAGATGTCCTGAATATGTGGCAGTGACACACCAATTATTTTTTTCAGCAGTTCTCACAATCCTCAAACACATGAAGACTGCTATTGCGTGATCTGTACCTATATGGACAATTTCTTTAAGTGCATAAATATACAGATCAGTTCGATGCATGTTCTTGAAAACCATACTGATTATCTTTTGACACTATGTATTCTGCAAGCCATCTATAAGGATCTCTTCCAGTACCTTAGATAATGTACTTGCAAGTGCAATAGGTCTATACTAGTTAATTAACCAGTCTTATGTTTAACTACAGGTACAGGCAAGGCAGATAACATGATCTAGGAAGTATGTCATGCTTCGTTAACCCAGAAAAGCATAAAGGAAGTAAAACTGAAATAGACTTACGTATTTCAGATGTTCTGCTGTTTTTCTATCCCGCCCATGGCTTTGTTCATTTTAACTTTGTCAATTATAATATACTTACTCCAGCCTGATGACTACACCATCAATCTGAAGCAAAAAATGTAATAAATTAATATTTTTTTACAACAAAATAAACCATCACTGAACATACTTAAGCTAGATTATGACACTGTTTTCTTCTATATCTGCTGTACATGAGAAGCAAACTTTATTTTTTAGAAGCATTATTTTCCTGTTACTGTAAAGCTGCATTGAAATAATCAAATTGTAGGCTAAACCTTTCCTCCGTATGACATCATTCAGAGGAGATTCAAGAATGGGGAACTCATATTAATGTTAAAAAACCTCAGAAAGTGAACATTTCATGGGACCTTTAAATTCTAATAAAACAAACTTTCTTTAGTCAGTCAGAATTTAGCACAGATGGAACACTGTATTATTGACCGATCAGAAGATCTAAACTATCCATTTGTTATGTTTTTGTGTTTATATTAAGCTATAACATATATTCATTTTATGTCATTTGATATGCAATTCATTTTATCCAGGGCGACTTTCAAAGGAGGTTCATCATTTGCAATTTATTTTATTTTACTTTTGTTTTTGTTTCGTTTTTTTACTTTGAAAAGGAACCATTCATACCAGATGCAAATTCATCCCTGTCATCTGCAAACAGTCAGCTCAAGTTGTCATCCTAACCGCAACCTTTTTTTAAATAACAGTTTCTAGATATAAGTTGTAATGTTATGAATGTTTAATATGTGAGGTTAATCTTCATAGAATGAAGTGACACCTGCCCTAAAATACCTTAAACATGAATTACAAGATGTACCTGTTTTATGTTCCTAACAGGACAGCTGATGTTTAAAAAAGATATGGCAATCTGTGTCGGAAAAAGTAAATTGTATACTTTCTGAAATCAATCTTGTTTGTTTATCATGTTTTCATACCTTTACACAACAACGATGTACTAAAAAATATGGAAGAGTTTTTCCTTTTTTCCACGCACTAATGACAACATTGTCAAAACGATCCCGTTAACACGAATCCACGAAACTGACTGTATTAAAGGGGTCATGAACTGGCTTTTTAAATTTTATTATATTGTTCTCTGAGGTCAATTTATGACATTTGCTTGGTTTTTGCATTAAAAAACATCAAAATGAATAAGTAATAGGCTATTTTCTACCCTAGTTTTGAGCCTAGCTCAAAAACACTTGGTTTTTATGGGCGTCTCGCACTGAAGACTTGGAAGTAAACGCCCACTGCTGCGAATGGATAACAGTTTTGCATATTATAATGAGTTTCAACTCACCCGTCGATGCACGTGGGGGAAAGGCTGGCTTATCCGTACCATCCGGCTCGGCTATGCAATTCAGTTTGCCCGAGAGACCGACGCCGTGCTGGCGAAGGACGCGATCGAGTTG